AATGTTTTTTTATTATTTGCCTGGCATGAAATAGGCATTTAGTCAAATGCCTAGTCATTTAATTAAATGACTAGGCATTTAACTAAATGTCTAGGCGGATAGTGAAATTGCATAAACATTAAATTTTTTGACTATATGCCTAGGCATTTGATAAAATGCCTGATTTGACTATATGCCTACGACATATACATTGCCCGAATTTTCCAATTTGCCCGTAACATATATACAAAGCATTTTGTACGGTGTTATAAGCTTATAACCATGCAAGTATAAAAATGCGTGTGTCGTTAACTGTTTATACCATGCACATTTTGCAAATATAATAAAGTTGATGACAAATCACCTAACCGACATGAGTTTCATAAATATTAAGAGGACATATAACAGTATGTGTTGTCTTCGTCTTACAAGTACATAACATACCAAATTTTAAGCTAAGAATATCACATATTTTAGCTCTGTCAGTTTAAAAATTAGTGTGAATTGACCACTTATTACAACTAAAGGTAAGATTATTATGGAGGGTATCTCATGAACTTTTTATTGTATTTTAATTTTAAAACGATTAATGAGTATTTTAAAATTGTAAATTGTATGTGCATCTTAAAATACTCATAACTCTCTTTAATATTAAAATATAATAAAAAGCACATGAGATGCCCTCCATAATAATCTTACCTTTAGTTTTAATAAGAGGTGAATTCATTCTAATTTTTGAATTGACAGAGCTAAACGAACTCTAATTATCAATTATATTACGATTGACTGCCCCGGATAGGCATACCAAATTACTTAAGAACCTCACTTCTCTACAGCTAACCTTAAATGAAAAAAACTCCATAGCACTCTGCACTCCATTTATTCTGTCACAATATTAGTCGAAGCCCCAAATCGTAAATTCTATTTTTTAGAAAACTATAAAGGCTTTAGATATTAGATGTAGAAGACTAATTTGCAAACAAAAAAAGTATACATAAGACATAGTAATTTATAATGCAAACATTTTATAATTGAGATAGAATAATAAAATAAAATGATATCTATCTATATCATAATAATTATTATTACAATTTTTATATAAATTTGAACTTATTTCATAAAACAAGATTTAATTATAGAACTAGTTAATGATTGATGATGAAAAAATATTAAAATAATAAAAATGTATAGACAAGCATTCATCAAATTATAATATGAATTTAAATAATATTACTATATTCATCGCTCCGCTCAGAATCTAAAAGCAGATAAGTGTGTTACACTAAGCTGCACATTACTCTAGATTCTAGATTCTAGAAAGTCACTGTAATGAAAGTGTTGGATTGAAGTCAATGACTTAAAAACATTTTATACAAAAAACGATTGTGAATGGAGGCGGTCGTCAGCCTATAATATTACTAGGTAGATATATTTTATGACGTGATTAAAGTAATTTGTTTTAATATTATAGCCATTAGTACTACAATAGGTTAAATTCATTTTTATCGAAAAAATTTTATTCGAAATTGTCATTGTTTGTAGTATAAAATATAAAATTAAACTTACTCTAAAAGTTTCAAATACCCATGTCCCCTGAATTATGTTGTTGAATTACAATAAAATAATTAAAGTCGTTATTCTTGGTTTTAATATGTAATTTCGTTTAAACTTGAACTTAAAATAACCATAATAAATACAGTGTGATCATATTTTTGTAATTTGTTGGTTACAGAATGAACTACTTAAGTGGAATCTTGTTTTAAATTTACAATCCTAAGCTATCAAAATTGAAAACAATTTTATAAAATATAACTTTAAATGCTTATAAAATAAAATCTTGCCTATGTCTTTTTATTATTTTTAAACTGAAGTATAAAATTGTAACAATGTGTGAGGAGCTTTTATGAAATTTTCAATTTTTAGAATTTTTAGAATTGTATTTAAATTATGATTGTATAAAAATGTCTTTTTAAGTGTAAATCATATTATATTTTAATTTATATCCTTATCCAGCCCGGCGTGAAACTTGCTTGTGATTAATGAATAAATGATTATGAGTGTATATTATTATTATGTATAGGTAATTTAACTCTAAACTTCTAAAGTATCAAACTTATATCTTTATCGGACTAACATTATGACTAAAAATTTTCTACGTGATGCCCTCTTAAATTAAAAAAAAAACCGCATGACAATTGAGTGATTTGTTTCTATAATAAACATTTACAAAGAAATATAGATTCCACGTGTATATAGTTAGATATATAGATACAAAATTGACTCCCGTATATCACGCATTAATCTATCAAAGTAGCAGTACTCGGAACAATTCATATCTACACACCGATATCAAACACATATTTGACAATTGACGGACAAAAAAGTCAAGTTACAGATATCTCGGGTATATCCTCGGGCCGTCGTGCCGCACATTTTTATATAGGTACACTTTTATCTTAATTAATAATAACTAATTATTTATTAACTTTATCGGACTAAATTTCATACCTGCTCTGTGATGTCATCTTAAACTAAAAAAACAAACCAGGCATTTTGAAGCCAACCCAACAATTTCACTTTTATGTACATAGATTAGTTGGAATTAATTAATCTGTTTATTATTAATCTTAATTTTTGATATACATTTGTTAATTACTATTTTTAAAGGTGCTCGATTTGTTCGTTATTTTTGATATCTTTTTAACGTACACGATTGCGTACGATTTTACCAAATTTTTAACTACACATTTTCGTACGAAGTATTAAGTGTTGTTACCAATTTTCATGCCACGTTTTCCACACAACTACACAAATGAAAAAAAAAAATTTTTAAATACTTTGCGTTTTTTCATATTCATTAAGCTTTTGTTGCCCACATAAATATTTAATATATAATGTCTAATATATCAGACGTACCGACATCTCGTTATTTCCGAAATATAGGGTTTTTTTTATGGCTTTCGAATTCGAGTGTAAAATGTGTAATAAAATACAACTTATCGAATTCGAAAAAGGAAAACCGTTAATTCTTTTAAATAATAATTTATATAGGCATATAACTATATAAGAACACGTAAAGGAGAAATGCATTAATGGATTTGTACAGTAAAAAAGTGTTACGCAAGCATAGTTACTCACCCTCAGAAAACTTCAGTTGTAAGCAGGACCGGACTGGACAGGACCTAACCAGGAGTTTAGTAAGGACGTTTTTTTTTTAGGTTAATCGGTTAAGGCACATCCTGTCGATAGACGTAGACACATTTTCAACTGCGATTGTATCAGAAAATTGTCCAGTGTGACGGCTTGTGAACGTCGGACATAGGTGTGCGACAAAATATTAAGGAAATTCCTAGAATAGATATGAAACGTGGTATGGTAAGTGGATGTCACTCTGCTGTACAATAGGTGTCTAGGAGGTCGCTGTAATAGATGGTATTAAATTTGAATTCAATGATGTCATATTATTGTATACGAAAAACAATTCTGAGTGGGGACGGTATGTCAGTGTAGGATATTTTATATTGTTATTACTTATTTTTAATATACTGTAGTAGCCGGTAAGTTGAATTAATATTATTCTTAAATTATCAGTGATGCTGGACAAATATTAAATTTACCTATGTAAATTGGGCTGTTATGGAACCAAATTACAACAAAATGATAAACATTATTCTTTGTGTAAATATGCAATTTTGTCAAAATTTGAACTTAAAATATCTGTAAAAAATAACTGTATTTATATATTTATTAGATTTTTTAGTTACGGAAAAAGTGGAACCTTATTTTAAATTTTCAATCTTTAGCTTTAAAAATTAAACATTTTTATATTTTTTATTACAAAACCATTTTCAATTTGATAAATATTGTCAACATTTGAACTTTAAATGATTATTAAAAAAAATCGTGCCCATGTATTTTTAATATTTTTCAACTGCTATTATAGCAATATATCAAGAGTCTTGTATTAAATTTTCATGCTTCTTGAACCAACCAATACAATTTTATGATATTTATAAAAAAAAAATTAAAATTGAAAATGTTACTTAAAACGAGTTAAAATATTTTGAAAAATGTATGTAGTATGTGAATTGATGAAATAAACATATAGTGTACATTTCAAGTATCCACAGTAATTTGTTTTTGAATTACAGCAAAATAAGAAAATCGCTACAAGAGGAATCGAGTGAATCCAATGTTGTAAACATTTCAACTTCAAATGCTCATAAAAATTTTAATTTGACTTCCCGGTAGAAATTTTTTTTGTAAATAAAGGTAAACAAGCTTACAAGGAATTTTGTATTGAATTTGTAAATCTTAGATTTAAAAAGAAAAATTTTTATGAATGTCTAACTTAAATTGATTTGCTAATTTTCGTGATTTTACGAATTTTATCAAAATTCAAAATTTAAATGCGCATAAAAATGTGCATTTAGGCTCAATTTTTTTTTAATTACCACCAGCAACAATTTTCGAGCAACCTTGTATTACTATTTTAGTTTTTTGACAAAGCAAAAAATTTTTTATCGACATTAGTTTAAAAAAAAACTAATAATAATCGAATGTTTCATATGCCTATAATAATAGTTCAACACAAGTCAAAATATTTTGAACATTTTATGGTGTATAGAAAATGCTTACATAACTATTCAGTGAAAAATTCATGTATCTACGGTCATTTTTGTTAGAGTTACACTAAAAATCAAAATTGATTTTTTCGAAAACTAGTATTGAGTAAAAATAACCGTTTTCCTTTCATTTTTTGTTTGTTTTTCCTGTTGCTTAACTTGCTTTTGAAAACTATAGGTTATTTTAAATTTTGACCTCCCGAATGCACCAATTTAATTCACTTTCCTACCAGAAAAGTTGCTGTTGAAGAAAATCGAAGCACTTTTACTGCAAAAACCGTGATGACAGACACAAAAAAAAATAAATAAATAAATAAATATAAAAACACACATCATTGTGAAGTCAATACATTCATCGCTCCGCTTAGAATCTAAAATGTATAAATTGTCAAAAATTGATACTCGTGTCAATTTATTGTCTTAGTTAATCTTTAATCCCTACTTTATTATGGCAATTTATTATCATCACACGAACACAATTTCGCAGTAGAGCTCAAACCTTAAAAAATTGCTGAATATGTATACATGTGTATTTTTGAATATAAAAATATATTGTATTTTAAATAAAAACGATAACATCCCTTGGTACTTTTCATATATATTTTTTGAGTAACTTGAACCGTTTACGCAGCGAGCGCAACAGAAGCTTTCAAATATGAATAATTTTCGCAACATTTTTCACTGATGCTTCGCTCCTATTGGTCTCAGCGTAATGTTATATAGCTTAAAGCCTTCCTCGACAAATGAACTATCCAACACAAAAATAATTTTTCAATTCGAACCAGCAGTTCCACAGATTAATGCGTTTGAACAAACAAACTCTTTAGCTTTATAATATTATAGATAATAGATATAATATGATATAAATATACACTTTTATAATAATATAACAAATGCAATGTTTTTGAACGTTTAATCAACCTACATATCGTGATACTTATAATAGTAAATGGGATACAATTCGTATATTATGTGAGGCACTGAAGTACACCGTAATACACAAAGGAAAAAGCTTATTGGGTTCAGTTTAAAATATAATTAAAAAAATATACAACTAATAAATATATCAATGCCTACATATGTTAAATACAATAGCTGTTATAAACTAATAGCATTTACACCCAGTAAAATGTCACATTCATACAAACTATTATTATAATACATTATTACCTATATTTTGGCTTAGGAGATCAAATGAGGAACTAAAGAATCTGTGTAGAAATTAGGACATAATGCAGTTTGTGAGAAACTCGAGACTTGCTTGGGCTGGTCATGCATGGAGAGCTGATGGTTATCTCAAATAATAAGATGGTAATGATAAATAAAATCGATCGGAAAATACCAAGAAAACAACGAAGACAAAAGATGTCTTGATGTTGTTAGAAAAGACCTGATAAAGAGGACCTTATTGGAATGGAAACATGGATCTGGTTTACGAACGAGAGATATGGAATATAAATTGGTTTTAGAAATTAGAAGCAAATAAGACCCTGGTGGTTCTTAAAGCTCATAACAAAAATTACCCATATTAAAGTAGATCCCCATTGACGATTACCTTTAGTCAATTAAAAAATAACTTGGATACCTATGTTGAGTCTGAATCAGTCTACGGTCTACATATCTACCTGTTATATATTAGTATATATTTAATAATATTATATTGTAAAATATAACTATGTATATTTTGAATATGTTTGAATACAAAATATCTGATAGTCAAAAGTATTTTCTTACCGGAGTATTTGAGCTGTACATTTTGAGATGGCTTTTTCGTCCTCCAGTTCAACATTTCTAATTTAACAAAAAAAGTAATTTTTTTATTTAAAATTATATTTAAACAGTTTATATAAGTTGCAATAAATAGTAACACTAACTAGTAACTAATAACATAATACAACAAAAAAATATTGAGATTTACGTAAAATAAACAATATATTAAAGAGCTTAAACTGAAGTATATATCTTGACACTCGTATTTTTTCAAGAAAACATTATCTTATCTTCATTGTTAGTCACTTATATAGAAGTCATCTTGTTCTGTCTAAAAACGAGTTCAAAGTAAAAATTATCCATGATTAACCATATAAAGAGTACATACACAAGTACAGAATGAGAAAATAATGATAAATGTTTATTTAATTTATGCAGTCATTATAATTTTAGTATATCTACTCAAATATTATTATTCTTCAATTATGAATGCAATCATATTATAAAATTGAATTACTCAAGAAGGTACTTGACTACTGAAGTTGGCAAAAAAAGTAGCGAAGTGGGTAGGTAAAGCTCTGCTGTACATTAAGTGTCTTAGAGAGTCACTGTGTAATTTACGTATTAAATTTAAATTCAATAATATTCGTTATTGTACACGAAAAACATTCCGTCAGAATTGACAGATGGCCTCCTGTCAGTCTATATACTATTACTAAGTATAAACTATATGATATTATTGTGATTAAATTAATTTATTTTGTTATTAGGTAATAGCATAGGTACTACAGTAGGTTAAATTAATTTTTGCCAAAATAACTGCATTTGAAAATGTTGTGTTTATACTGTATATTGTATAAAATACTGTAAATGTAAGTAAAAAATAACTGTGCTTATAATATATTTTTTAGATTTATTGGTTATAGTGTGAACTATTTATGAAGATCATTGTTTTAAATTTTAATTCTGGCTATAAAAATTGAACGTTTTATAATTTAACTACAAAATAATTTGAAACTTTTGATGAATTTTGTCATTTGATATTTCTAAACTGCTGTTGTTACAACTTATGAGAAACATTGTATTACATCTTTAAGCTTTTTGACACAACGAAAACAATTTTATTGAAATTTATGGATTAAATAATTTAAAAAAATGAACATTTCAAATGTCTTTAAATAACTCAAAATAAGATAAAATAGTAAAAAGTTGTATGAGAATTTATTAATTTACGGGTGAATATTCAATGTCTAATTTCAAAAGGTTATAAAAAATGTAGGTACTTGACTTTCAGAAATTTTTTGTTTTGTTCTTAAATATGGGAAAATTTTAAGGAAATCTTGTATACGAATTTAAAATTTTAAAAATTTTACATTTTATTAATAAATTTGTTCAAAAACTGGTTTTGAGTAAAAATTCTCGTTTTTCCTTAATTTTTTATTTGTTTTCCTCAAGCTTTTAAAACTATTTCGACCTCCCGAATGCACCAACCAGATTCACTTTCTTGCCAGAAAAGTTGCTGTTGAAGAAATCGAAGCACTTTTACTGCCCCAAACCGTGATAACTGACACAAAAATAAAAAACACACATCAATTGTAAAATCAATACATCATCTCTTCGCTTATAATCTATAATATAAAATGCAACATAATGAAAACTTAAATATTTATAACCATAATATTAAATACAGTTACCAAAAACCGATAATTAATTAGGTTGATTTTGTGATTTTGATTAAATACGATTAACTGGTGTGCTGTTCTAAACGATAATACATTAATACGATTTTAGATAAATGTGTGTTATTGGTTTCTACATAATATGTTTGATACTATCAATGTTTGAGGTATAAATTGCCAAATTGGTTTAATGTTGATAAAACTGTGTGGTGCATAAAAATTATGGATTTGAAAGATGACCTTTTTTTTTAAATGTATGGTTATGACGAGTGACGACTGCCAAACTAATTGATATAGGTAGTTGACGTAATTCAGAGAAAAACATTTGATCAACACACCCAGAAATCGCGAAGTAATAAAATAAAAACCTAGTAACTTACTGGGTAATGAATAATAATCGACTGTATATACCTACATGAGGTATCTAGAGAGCCACTGTAATGCATTTTTAAGTTACAACAAAATAACTAAAACCATTACCTATTCTTAATGTTAATATGTGATTTTGTCCAAATTTAAATTTAAAATGTATCTATGTAAACAATAATTGTATTTTTATATTTTTTCGATTTGTTGGTTACAGTATGAACTATTTATGAGAATCCTTGCTATAAATTGTCTATCCTTAGCTATACAAATTGGACATTTTATAATTTTTAACTACAAAATAATTTTAAAATTAAAAACATTTTGATAAATGTTGACATCATCTAAACTTTAAAATGTAAATACTTCTAAAATAGAGGGCCTATGTACCTATCTTTAATAAATACCTAACTGCTACTATTATTACTTATG